ATACTAATAATCAATAAAAATAACTTACCAACTATTAGATTAATTAAATAAAAAATTTAGTTAACTTTAAATTATAGTAACAAGTATAGTTAAATATTGATAATCAATAAAAATAACTTACTCGCTAATAAAATTTATTTTTTTAATAAAAAATTTAATTGACTTTAAATTACAGTACCAAATATAATTAAATACCGATAATCAATAAAAATAACTTACAAACTATTAGATTAATTAAATAAAAAATTTAGTTGACTTTAAATTATAATAAATAATATAGTTAAATACTAATAATCAATAAACATAATTTACCTCCTAATAAAATTTATTTTTTTAAATAAAAAATTTAGTTGACTTTAAATTACATTAATAAGTATAATTAAATACTAATAATCAATAAAAATAACTTACTCGCTAATAAAATTAATTTTTTAATAAAAAATTTAGTTGATTTTAAATTACAGTAACAAATATAATTAAATACTGATAATCAATTAAAATAACTTACGCCCTAATAAAATTTATTTTTTAAATAAAAAATTTGACTTTAAATTACAGTAACAAGTATATTTTTTTAAATACTAATAAGTATAATTAAATATTATAAATAATTTACCAACTAATAAATTTATATTTTTAAATAAAAAATTAGTTGCTTAAGTTAAATAAAAGTAAAATCAACAATCAAATAACTTACTCGCTGTAGTAACTAAGTTTAATATAAATTTTTTAAAAAAGATTTAGTTTTGTTTATAAATTACTCAAAAAGTCTTTTGACGCTTCATTATCGTTTGAAAAACTGAATAATAGTACTAATTATTATTACCATCTAAATTATTAAATGTGGAAGTTTTCCCGGAATCCAAAACTGGCTCTAAAATTTTGACAAATTGACCTTTTCTCGTCTTAATTTCAAATAAATTTATAACTCATTTTAGATACCGATACGCTAAGGTCAATACTTACCAATTTCTTCTACATCAGATCCTTTTTTATTTTCTTTCTGGGTAAATGTATTTTCAAACGGTTTTGTTCTTTTACCTTTACCTTTATTTTCGGACATTGCAATAAGTTTAAAAAAAAAAATTTGCACAATGAGTATAATTATATACTGTATATTATACTTTGGTTACACAATGGTATAACCGCCATTTATAAATTCTAGTACTATTACTACCGCCACAGCAAAAGGGGGGCGATACGTCGATCACGTGATTTCGAGAAAATCGCAGTTTATTATTCGTCATTACTTTTGCCGATCATCACAAAAAAAATGATTTTTTAAAAAACTGTCTTTACGACTTCAATTTTTTTTTATAAGTAATAGGTTGAGAACATTGGCTTTCTTATTATATATTTATTTTTTAAAATTTATGTAATTTATATGTTATATTGTCTTAATAAAGTTTATGAAATATTTAATAAAAAATAAACAATTATTTCGTTCCAAAAAACAAAATTTGCGCCTTTTTACTAATAAAGTATAACGGAAAAATATATTTTCTGAAAGGTTAGGCCTGCGGTCATGTGATCATAACAAAATCTTAAAATCTGATTGGTCGACCTATCGCCCCCTTTTGCTGTGGCGGTCCCCATATATATTAGCTGCATACATGTAATTTTTGCTGCAACGCATAATTCTAGTAATCTCCGGCTGAAATTACATAACAAATATCAGATACGGTTAACAAAGTTTCCTTTTCAATATGATGATAATATTAAATTTTAAACATTATTTAAAAAATTTTCTTATTAAATATTAAGTTTTTCAATTTTTGAAAAAACCACATCCGTATAATTCCGATTTTATTATACTTGTTACTGTAATTTAAAATTTTTTATTTAAAAAAAAATATATTTAATTAGAATGTAAATTATTATCAGTATTTTATTATACTTGTTATTCTAATTTAAAATCAACTAAATTTTTATTTTAAAAATAAATTTTATTAGTAAGTAAGTTATTTTATTGATTATCTATATATAATTATATATATTACAATTTATAAATCAACTAAATTTTTTATTTAATAAAATAATTTTATTAGTTAGTAAGTTTATTTTATTAATTATTAGTATTTAATGTTAATTATACTTGTTACTATAATTTAAAATCAACTAAATTTTTTATTTAAAAAAATAAATTTTATTAGTTCATAAGTTATTTTTATAGATTATTAGTATTTAATTATGCTTGTTATTTTAATTTAAAGTCAATTATATTTTTTTTAAAAAATAAATTTTATTAGGAAGTAAGTTATTTTATTGATTATCAGTATTTAATTATACTTGTTACTATAATTTCAAGTCAACTAAATTTTTTTATTTAAATAATCCAATAGATGGTAAGTTATTTTTATTGATTATTAATATTTAATTATACTTGTTACTGTAATTTAAAGTCAACTAAATTTTTATTTAAATAATTCAATAGATCGTAAATAATTTTTATTGATTATTAATATTTAATTATACTTGTTACTGTACTTAAAGTCAACTAAATTTTTTATTTAAAAATAAATTTTATTAGCATGT